ACTAGCTGGTTCATAAAAACCCTGGAAGTGCGAGTTCAGGCTCCAGCCAATCAGTGAAGAGCCATACATTCTGTATTGTCAGCAATTCCTGAGATCGAGGATTTAAAGTTGGAACAAGGAGAATGTTTGGTGAATATGATCAAGGAGAAAGATGTTATTGCCCTTCTTCCTATGGGATTTGGGAAAAGCTTAATATACCAGTTAGCCTCGTTAGCAGCGCATTACATACATCACGACCAAACAGCAGCGATCGGTTAAATGAAAAAAGTACCCGCCTACCGAACAAATCCTAATGCTGCGAAGTCAGACAATTTCTACGAAGTGAAACCGGCTGATGAATCAGGCTAGTTGGATCCAGAAACATCCAATAGAATTTAATTATTTGTAAGCTTTTTTGTCTGCTAATTTGATATCTGTAGTCTCCCAGGCCTCCTTTATGGTTACACTTGTTTTTATATATTTATTAATTACTGTCTTTTCCTTTGGTATGACTCAGTTTTTTCATTTTAGTGGTTGTCATATTTATATTAGAAAAATACGTTATTTTGTATGGACATGGGAGTGTTGTAATCAGTGCTTTTTCCACTGAGGTTGCCGGTCTGAGTCTTGCATTGCTTTAACTTATCTGTGCACGTAACTGGTCAGACCTGTGTCAGAGCTGCTGATGCGAGCAGGACTTTATTATTACATTATACACACAAAGTCCACAGAGTCTCCGGGTGAATAATCACATTTGTCTTGGCTTTTAAATCTTTGCACGGGAGGTCAGAAAACAGTTTAGTGGCATATCCGAGTCAAGGTAAACAGTGGTGGTTGTGTAAGAGAGGGCATCTGATGGGAATTTAATATGCACTCTTATGTGCCGATAACAGCAACTCCCAAAGTACTCACAAAGGTTTTGAAACAGTAAGGCTGCAACTATGATTATTTTAGTAGTCGACAAGAGTTTTTTATTTTTTGCTTATTTCTTCTTTTTTTTTTTTTTAATGTTGTTTATTAGTTGACTTAAACAATCATTTCTTTTGCAAATTTAGATGTAAATAAAGGCGGAGCTATGCCTTCTAGATAGAACAAAAAATGTACTATTCATGAAAATCCAAAATTGTTCAACCTTTTTATGACATTTTGATCTAACGACGTTGCTATCTTTGTGATAAAATATTTTTGTTCTTTGTTTTTGAGTGTATAGTCCAGATAATATGCCAAAATTATTCAAATAGTCAACAATTATTTCAATTGTTTGGTGTTTCTCAAACTGAGGAGCACACACTTGCTCTTTAGTTTGTGTTGTTATCCACATTTTGGTTAATTTCTGTATGATATAGTCAAATTTTATGCCTGGTTTAGTTTTAGATTAGTCCTAAATTAGTACTTTTATAGACCTGGATGAGACATGGAAAGTCAATTTTTTTCTTTTGGTGGCACATTGTGGGAAAAATTTGAACCACTGCAGTGATTTGAACTAAAATAGTGAAGTTACAATACTTTAGAAAACAAAAAATATATAACATAACACCAAAGTCCACGTCTCTTTTATTATTCATGCTTCATTTACCATCAATTATGAATCATCCCAAACCACAAAACCAAGAATTCTGAACCTTTTAATTGCAGTACTCTATCTGTCAGGATAAATTAGCCCACCCAGTCCCCTTATGTGGTCTATACAGTATATTTGTGTACCCTTCATAACCCCGGGATACTGGATGGCTCTGATTCTGGCCCTCTCAAATCGATGGGCAGCTTTTATTCATATTTGATAACACCTCAGGGCAGTGGTGAGGCTAGGAGAAATCAGGGCAGGCTAATGGTTCACTTTAGACTTTAAGGTTCAGAAAACTCGCTCTGAGATTGCAGAAGGAGCGCCGGGAATTAAGATGCATTTCAAAGCTAAAATGTGATAAAAAAGATAAGGAAGAGATTTATGGTTATATTATTTTAAGCAACAAGTTCAAAATGGATCCCAAAAGTTTTAGCTGAATAACACTAAACTAAGTATTAAATGTCCTATATTCCCCGAAAATGTGAGTTTTAAGTCATGTTAAATTCTGTTACCTCATCAAAAACATTTCCAAAGTTGTGTTTTGTTTCATTAAATTTTAAGTAATTGTTTCTTATTAAGTCTGTCTACAGCTCCAAAGCTCAAAATGCTTAGTTTTTAAAGTTATCAGCTCCTTTTACCTTTAGTTCAGTAGAGATCAGCAACTCCAGGCCTGAAATGATCCAAATGACACTACCGTAGTTAAGGTGTATGGAGTTTAAACAGCAGAGCACTTCCTGTATTACCACATGACATCACAAGGTGAAGGAGAGAAGAACTCGGCCTAAATGTGCAGGATTTGTGTGTTAAACATGTGGTAATGAAACAAAACTCAACTCCAGGTCTGTTTGTCATGACAACATTGTAACAGATCAGGAAATAGGAAATATGGGCCCTTTAAAGATGCACTATGTACCTTTCTGCCACCTGCTTGTCTCTGTCTAGATGTTATGTTGCCTGGATTGTTCCACAGTATGGCATTAGATGTATGTATCTATCATTTATTCAAGTTTTTTATTGCAGGTATTGCTTGTTATTGTAAAAAAAAAAAAGAACGCTTTGGAAAATACACATTGTTTTGGTGAGAAGAGTCACCATTCCACAGATCTGACCTGGAACTTGGCTTGGTGCTGTCACCTCCTCGTCTCCATGGTAAATAAAACTAATACTATACTGTGGAGCTTTTTTGGCAAAAGAATAACTTCACATAACAAGCAGGTGAGGACCATCCACAAGAAATGTTATAGTGTATATTTAAACAACAGTGACTCATGTGCTGGAGTGGTCGTCTTATAGCTGTAAAAAAAATCCCTCAGTCGTCCAGGTAGAATCCACGGCAAAAGGAGAAATTCAATCTGTCAACTGGAGAAAAATGTATTTGGTCGATTACGTTTCTCAGCTTGGATGAGCTTCAGTTCTGAACTGAAGAAACAGTTTGGATCAGCTGCGAAACATATTCTCCAGTTGACAAATTGAATTTCTTCTTTTGCCTTACAAATGTAAGGTTGGTGGTATGATTCTAGTTCGGGTTAATGTGCACTGCCATTGAGTCCTTGAGCAAAACGCTTCACCCACCTGTATATACCAAGTAGCTGATAGGCAGTCTATCAAGGGCAAACTGTGGAGTGTTCAAAAAGTGCAATGTAAAAACGATGCATTATTATTTTGTTTGAGTAATCCTTTATTATTAGTCTGTCTACATCCTCCAAGCTCAAAATGCTCTGTTCCAACTTGTGATGTCATGAAGTGTTAGTTTACAGAACAAAATGTAAAAGGTAGCCGGTAACTTAAAGATAAGCATTCCACGGCTGAAATTATCCGATTGATTCTAATGAAGGTGTATGGAGTTTAAAAACACAATGGAGCACTCAAGGTGGAACAGTGTTTTCTGTTGGTGAAAGAACTCAGCCTAAATCTGCCAGATTTGTGTGTCAAACATGTAAATGTGTGAATGAAACAAAACACAGTTTCAGGTTTGTTTTTGCGATGAAGAAACAACATTACGTATACATGATTCATTTCTTAAAATAACCTCCATCTTTGGCATGTTGAGGTGTCACATTGTACCCTATACCCCTCGCTCACACATTCATACAATAGAACGTGTAGTGTCGAGTTTATTTTTATTCCAGCGGAATAAATTATTGTTCTGTTTCCTCCTCTCTGCTGCGGGTTAGTCCCAAATGTTCAAATATTCAGTATCTCGGCCTGATGCCACTGTAAGATTTTAAAGAGAAGTGAGGTGGAAAAAATCCTGGCGAGTCAGTGATTTCAATCAATGTTCAGAGAAAAAGAAAACTGATTGTTATAATAGTGTTTTATTATTGAGATATGGCTGAATTAAAATATGAAACTGAAAGATTTAAAAGTGTATTAAATGTGACATGAATCTAAGCAATGCATTAGTCTAAATAAATAACAGATATCTCTAAACTAGAAATTGTCTTTTTAAATTGCATTATAAGAACTATTTTATAAGCCCACTAACTGTATCTTTTATGTTTTGATATAATTTTTGTATTACACGACCAAAATTTCCTGGTATGGCTCCTGGGAAATTTCTCCAACGACTCTCTCACCCAAATCTCAGTCCTGTGCAAATCCTGACTAACGCTATGCAAATATTATGCAAATCAGTAGTTTGCGTGTTATTTGCGTGCGTGCTGTTTAGTTTAACATTTGTCACATTTTGATAAACTGATAATTGTCTATGAGACGCTTTTATACTTTCTCAGTAATCTCAGTAAACATTTCTATTTGTCCCCAAACTTTAAAACAACGAATCCCGGAGCCCCCCCCAATGTCTCGTCCTCTCCAGCCCGGCTCTCTCCAGTTCCCAGCTGCTCTCTGCGGTTCTCTATCTTTCCTTTTGCCGTTTAACAGCAACAGCCACGAGGGAGAAAAGACATTTGGTTAACGGTCCTGTTTTAGGTCCAAACACAGAGCGCGCAGTGGGCAAAACAAACACGCGCCTGCGGGCATTCCCAATCACGGCCTGTCCCCACCTCTGCTTTTCTTTGGCCGCAGTTCAATGGAGACCTGCCACAGCGTAAACAAACGTACCGATCCGAGCTCATTTGTTTAGTATTTTTGGTTAAATACGAAGAAGATCAACTGAGAAGTGGCCAGCTTTTCCCATACGTGGAAACCACTCTGAAAATATTGGCTATGAGTAATAGGCCATTGCAAATAACTGATGGTTTTAGGCCTCAATCAATAAAAATGTAAAGTACACCCCAAATATTTTAAATATAGGGCTACTATTATATAATGTGTTTAATGATAGAGTCATACGTTGACTATAGTGAGTTTTAGGCCCACTCCAGGCTTGTGGCTTTTACGCAAATGGATTTTTTTAATTTTTTTTTTTATGGATGTTTTGTTTTTGGTTGGAACAGCATATAAAATGTGCTCTGCGTAAAATATGACGAGGAAAGCAACTTGGGAAAACATTATATTTATTTTGTAAACAAGACAAGAAGTTCACTCTGGCATGTGCAAAATGAAAGCTTGGATAAGACGCACGTCTTTAGTGCGCGTAACCAAATACGCCCTTAGCGACAATAGTCTATGTGATATATTTCCCAAAGCAGAGCTTTATCTTCATTAAACGCCACCGCAACCATTTTGGACAATTTGTGGCGTTTTACTAGTGTTGCATGAATCCAAGATTTAGAAATAAATACAAATATTAAAGACATATTATATAATTTATCATAATTTAACGGATAAAGTCATTCATTTGTGCCAAGTCCTCGCCAGGCCTGTAGGACAAAAGGCCAAACAGCGATTCATTTGAGTCCGTGTTGCGTCTCCTTGTGCCGCCGCAGGTCCACTTTCCTCTGGAAGCCCTTCCCGCAGAGGTCGCATCCAAACGGCTTGTAGCCCGTGTGCTTCCGGCTGTGCGTAATCAAGTTGGAGCTCTGGCTGAACGCTTTACCGCAAACCTGACATTTGTGCGGCTTCTCACCTGTGCAAACATCAGGAAGATAACGGGTTAGTGGCTCATTCGAATCCACATATCAGCTAGATTTATCTCATTGTTGAATTTTGTGCTGTTCTGTGCCTTAGACCAATAAATCGCTCAATTACGCACCATTGTCTGTTTTTACGCACAGCCCAGTGTCGCCGTGGCGCTCACCTGTGTGGATAAACGTGTGCTTCTTCATGTCGGACTTCTGGTGGAACCTTTTGCCGCAGTACTGGCACGGGTACGGCCGCGTGTCCGAGTGGATCAGCAGGTGCGTGGACAGAGTGGACGAGCGTTTGAAACTCTTCCCGCAGATTTTACAGTCGAAGCTCCTCTCCTATGGCACAACGACACGGACTTACAGCTCACAAAAACACTGAAAATGCCACGTAAATTAATACAGTGAGCATTATTTACCTGTGAGTGCACGGCTTTGTGTTGCTCCAGACTGACCGCATGTCCGAAAGTTTTGCCGCAGATTTCACACGCAAAAGGCCTGGTTCCGCTGTGGGATCTGCGTACGTGCACCTCCAAACCGTGTGGCGTGGAGAAGACCTAGAATAAATAAAAAACATGCACTATAAGTCAACTTTACATAGGCTATGTCAAAATCTACAGAGAGGAATGATTAATTATATTTTGTTGACATAATTTGAATCCAATTGTAGACTAATATTGCATTTTTATTTGATTGTTTATGTTCACTATGAAGGAGAGTGAAGACGTGGTGATTTAGCCTATGCGTAAAGATCAATTTTGAGTGCGTCTGAAGCCTAAATTACAAGTCTCGCATTTTCGTGACATAGTTTGAGTCCAAAAATATAATAATATTACATTTTAATTTAAAAATTCTACTTTCCTGGAATAGTAGAGACATTTTAATGTTAGCTTGTGTGTTGCTTACCTTGGTGCACTTGACGCACTTGTAGGCCCCGTTCAGGATGAGACTGGAGGAGAGCAGATCCGTCTGGGCCTTGGGCTCGTGGTTTTTGATGTCTGGATAGAGCAGCGATGAGGCGTGTCTTCGATAATCGCCGTAACTGCAGTCTTCTGGATACATGACGGGGCTTCGGTCACCGTAAAAGGCCACAGTAGATCCGGGGCTTCGGTCCAGCTCGACCCGGTGTGGGGTGAAGTTCTGGGGCTGGAGGAGCGGCCGCGCACCCTGGGGACTGTCCCATGCGTAAGGCCGGAACGGGACGGTAAAGTGCTGGCTGTCGTCCACCAGAGGAGACAGGGACTTCTCTGAGGCTAAAAGCACAGGAGCATTTGTTAGACTGGTGGTCTTTTGGATTAAATGTGTGATTATTAAAGTTGCCACTTCAGATAGAACCACAAACTAAGGATCTCAATAAAGGTTCTTAAAGGAGTAACATGTTTCATCAAAATGACAAAAATGAATACAGATTTTAAAAAGAGACAGAAATAAATCCGTGTATTATCATGTCGTGATTGAAATGTCTGCCCTGAATGCTGGTGGAAATGGTAAAAGAACAATACAGGATGAATTTTGGATTTGTAACCTCTCCGTTAACATTTATCATGTCACAATTAGGATTTGCAATTGTTAATTTCATTTTAGGCGAAACCAAACTATAGACAGACATTTATTTTCTTATGGTAGGCCTATTGGTAAAGGTTGGAATGATTCAGTTTAGATTTCTGAATGCTGTCATTAATCTTTTATACTCGTGTGCTCATACCTGGTGAAGCGGATGGAGAGGGCGGCCTCCAGTAGTCCTCATAGTCCGGGGAGCGCTCGCACCCGCTGTCCGCGCAGCTCAGGGAAGACTTGGGAGAAAACTGAACCGCATCCAGGATCTGGGAGTCCGGAGACAGGCCGCAGCGATCCACGGAGAGATCCAGGGACACGTCCAGATCCTCAGACGCTCTGTCCGCGTCTGAAGGAGAGTTTAGTTCAGGTTTAGAGTTGTATTAAATTGAAATAATCTCAAACTAGATTCAATACGTAGAGTTTAGTAATATCAACAAAGTATCTCACACACAAACCAGCAAAAAACGAACTGTTTTTGTTTTGTTTTTTTCCTCTCTCTTTAGAAAGGAAGGTTCACTTTCACTGATTACGCATTACAAAACAGAACATCATATCAACAGCTTTCATTAATCTTTATCTTTGAGTGGGAGTTGCTGCAATAGTCCAATAGAAATGTTGCTTATTTCTGTTGTTAATTCAAACATAGTAGCTGCATTTGGTTGTAGGGTTTTGTCAGTTGTATGATGCACGTCGGCTTTTTAAAATCACCTGCTAAAGACACTTTCATGGCATCAAAACAAAAATGATTTAATACAATACTTTTACTTTTTTAACTCTAAGTTGACTGTGAATGCGTTATAGCTCGGTTTACGCATGAGAAGATAGATACTTCAAATATTAAAATATGCCGAGTTGCACAGAATGAATAAACCAGTGCACCAGTCTAGATAAACATTGTCTTATCCTAAGTAAATAGTTTCATACCTGAGCAGATCTGCGCCAGTATTGTATCCAGTCTGCTGTAGTCATCCTCCAAACTCCGGGGCTGGTGGTAGCTGTGCGCCTTTTTACTCTTCACCAAAAACGACCGAGGCATTTTTGCGTCTGTGCGTGCGTAAATCCGTTAGAATCCCGTCCAAATAGTCACAATAATTTCGGTAAACTTTGTTAACTCCACGGGCTCAGGTGCTGCGCGCGCTGAGCCACCGCTGTCTCTGAGCTCGACTGACACCTCATGCGCTTAAAAGGCGGCCGGACCTGACAACTGAGCATGCGCAGTGGCCGTCTGCCGTCTGCCAGGTGTTGCGGAGACAGGTGTCAGTGCGCAGTGACGTATACAGGTGCACGGCTACGGTTACAGGTGAGTGGCTGCAGTAAAGACGGGAAGACTTTAGTTTGAAGGCTTTGGGGCACTTTGCGTAAAGACACACAGATTGGGGTTTTTGCATAATTGGGGTATAATTTTAGACTTTTTAAACAACTTGAACAAAGAAGCGAGTGTAGAATGAGATTAAATTAGTATTTTAGGTAAATGTATGGGTTCTTCTCCACTTTTGTTTTATATATATATTGTAATCTGTATTTTCCAGGACAGCGTCGAAAATACTGACAGTAAAAAACAATTATAAGACGCTTTTTGTTGTTTTTCTTTTACATGAAGTCCACACTATTCTACTTCATCATTATTCACTGATGCACGACGCGTCAGATATGGTTCTTAGATTGCAAACAATAAAAAACAAACACATCCAAGACATATTTAACGAATTTATAAGATTTGGAATTCAATAAATACAAGTGAAATCGATTAGGAATATTCGTCTTGTGTTCTAAAATGATTTTGTGATAATAGACAAATAGACTAAATCACAGAACTATAACTGCAGAGTAACTGGACTGTTTTCACGCCAATGAACACATGCAAAGTTGCCTGGGATCCGGAATACATGTACACCCTTCTTCACTATAAACAGGCCTACAGACAACACGCAAAAGTGGTTTATGCCACTTATATCTGTAAAATGATGCCAGACTTGATGGCCTTTTGCGTATCCACCGTAGAGTCTCTGAAGCAACTCGTGCCTGCTTTTATCTGTGGCTTTACTAATCTAGTAGAGACGGCACAGAAAGGAAGTGAGGTTTGCACCACAGGACGCACTGCTGCTCACGCCACCGCTGCATGTAGCCCTGCGCGTCTGGTCTTCAAGAGTGCCAGTCATTAATCTGTGCGTAAAGGTTATAGGCCTTCATAGTGCTATACCAGGTCCAGACTACAGAGATTTAGTGAATGCAGGTCTTTGGTTTGCTCGGATGCATTGGAAGCTCCTCGAGATTTTATTTTGGCTAAACTAATTGCATCAATACATTTTTACTTGTCATACTTGAATGATTTTTTTTTTCTTAAACCGCTGCAGGATGTTCAATTATTGTTTCCGCATCAATAACAAAGCTACATGGAGTTGTTTTTTGTTTCATTTAAACATGTTTAACTCACAAATCCTGTATATTTAGGCTTTGTCTCTCTTTCAAACAGAAAACGCTCTGTTCCACCTTGTGATGTCATGTGGTAATACAGGAAGTGCCCCCCGTGTTTTTACGCTCCATGCACCTTCACCAGAATCATTTGGATCATTTCAGCCCAAGAATTGCCAAAAATCTAATGAGCAAAAAGTAAAAGGTAGCTGTTAATTTAAAAACAACCACTACATGACATCACAAGGTGGAACAGAGCGTTTTTAGACAGACTAATAATGCAGGTTTTTCCAAAACGTGTGAATGAAATAAAACATAAATCTAGATATGTTTTTGCAGAGGTTAAAACGTTCATAAAGCATAAATCTTAAAACGCTCAAGAGTTTTGTTAAGTGGCTTTTTTTCACCCATCCTGGCCTTTTGTAATTGTAATTTTCTAAAACAAAACGAGTATTGAAAGATTATGCTTTGTCCAAAATTAGGGATGTACTCAAAAACAAAACAAGAGTAGCCTTGAGTATTTAAATTAACATTCTCATCTGTGTACATTTTACTTAGCCTATTCACCTGTATGGTCCAAATGTAGCCTACTTATTGCTAAATTGTTGTCTTCATTATGATAGTGCACCCAAACTGTACATAAAATACCCACAAAATAATCAAACATGACACTGATTCAAATTCTGCTTCTCTTTTCACCGCTGGTGCGCAAAACTTCTCTGACATGGAAACGCGACTTCCGAGTTTTACGCACAAACCATTCCACCTGTTGTGGCGCTTGTCCATTGGCACTCACCCTAAACCCGACATAGATCCACAATAGCCGCGTTATTGAGCCTTATTAGTCTCGCCTGGCCGCTCCTCTCGCTGCCATTACGCGACAGACAGTGTGCGTACTCGCGCTTACAGTCACCGCCTCATGTTTCCCCGCACGGAGGAAGAGACCCCCAGTAGAACTATGTTTTGTTTTTACTCATCTTTTGTGGCGTGTTTTGCCTCATTACGCGCTGAATAAAGGATCGACACAGGCCCTGGTCGTTTCATCAAGATACTGACACTGGGCATCGTTAGTAATAAGCCTGAATTAGAGGGTGAAATTGTTAATAACTTAAGTGAATTTGCTTTTTATTCTCACGTATTAAATCTAGCAACAGACTAAAGGCAGGAAATCAAAGCGCAACGTGCCAGATTAGCAGAGACCGTGGTATCCGGAGAAGTGTTAAAGATATGATATAAAACAAAACAAAAAACAAATAGACGTAACCAGCAGGTGCTATCTGCCTGCAGTGGACGGGAGTGATAGAGGAGGATGCGCAATGCCACCAGCGACAAGACAAACAACAAACGGATATTGTGGTTCCAGCGGTCTGCAAAATGTACAACATCCATTTTAAAATAACCAAACTGAAGTCATTGAGCCACCAGGGTACTAAACTGTAGGCGTTCTTAATTCATTTAACTCTTATGTAGGTTATTTTACTTCTGTTGGTGTAGTTAAAACCACGGAGCAAAGAAAATTAACTCAAGTAAGAGTATTCAAATGAAAATAAGATTACTGGAGTAGACGTACAAAGTAGTGGTCTGAGTAACAATAAAAAAGTATTTGGGAAAACTATAAAATGTGACTCAAAAGTAGTAACTCTCAGGACGTAACATCTGATTTATAATTTGTAGTTAATGTAATTTTAAAGTCAGAACATGAAAAAATTAGCATAATCTGGTATTTTCTAAGAATGGGAACCAAAAAATAAATAAAATTAAAAAAATCGAAAAACTATTCACATTATAACCAAAAGTTAGGCTTGACTAACCATGAGTTTCTGAATATGAGTTTTTAATTTTTGTTAAAAGTGTTAGTATTACTGTAACTCTTGTTCTTACTGAGATGAAAGCATCAATCTGTGCATTAAATCCAAACTTAGGAGCCCCTTGATTTTTCATTACTGTCACTGATCAGTTTATCTTCAAAAACCTGAACTGAAACACGCTTTAAAAATGTGGTTTTGTTCTTGAAACGATCAGCTCCGAAACCACAAAAAAAAAAAAAAAAAAAAAATCATTTCCTGGATGCACTCAATCTAAGTGTGAATCTTTAGAGGAACTCTGCGTCATCGAGATACACAAAAACACATTTGAGTTTAGCAAAACATTTCTTTATTGTGACAATTCTGCATCCCACAGCAACAACATGGTATAGCTTTAGTGTCCGTTCTAGGGTTGCCAGGTTAGTTCTCAAAGCACCGGAGACCCCAAAAGTGCCATTTTCCTCGTCTTGTTGCCGTCGAAAAACACAGGATATCTTCTTGTTCATAGTCAGAAATCAATCTTGCTTGCTGCTTCCAATACTGCCGCTTTCGAGGCCATGTAAGAAAAATCAGTAAATCCAAATTCTCAATAGGCTTAAAATGGAGTGAACTGTATCCGTCAAGCATTACACAGACTTTAGTGCTCATTTTTGGTTGCTCAAATTTAGTTTCCTCTCGACTTCCCTCATCTTTTCCTGTGCAAAACCAACAAAACAGAATAGATTTACTTACGAAACAGCAACAGTCGTTCAAATCTGTCCCCTTACTAATGTTTATTTCTCCAAAATGCATCATTTTTGGACTTTTCCCTTTTTTGTACAATCGAAAACAGATATGCAATAGTTACGCATTTCAAGTTCAAAGGAGTTGAAAAAAAAACAAAACAAACACATTATACACATGTACATATCTACAAATATGCAGACGCCACACAGAGCCAGTTAAGGCGAGTGACTTAAGGCTGATAGTAGTAGTAGTAATAATATTAATAATAATAATAATATAATAGTATTTTCCGGCTGGTGCAAGCAGTTTTGATACCAGGCTCGGGCAAAAACAACAGATATATTTGATATTTACACACGTACAGCCACTGCATGACGCTTTGTAGTAACGGCGATGTGAATCTCAGCTATAAAAGTTTTTAAAAAGTATAAAAACACGATGAAGAGTGTTGTGAAAAATGACTTATTGCACAGTCTCTTACTTAGAAATCCGCTTCTTGTTTTCAGAAACTACAAACTGGAGGTAAACAATGACAATCTATGGAGCAGTGGTTCTCAAACTGGGGTGCAGATGCAGATAGGTGGGGCTCCTGAGCAGTTCTTCGGAGATTTGGTGCTAGTTCAGTTGGGTTTTAGTGTATTTGTGGTTTAAAATTGATTATCCTGGTTTACCGCTGTATTAACGTAAAACCTGCATTAGTCCTGGTTTAGTTTTGGTTCAAGCCTGGTTTGTACTTTTTTTGTTCTCGTGCTGAAGATCTGGTTTAGTCCTGGTTTAGATCTCAGTTCTAGTTCATACCAATTCTGATTTAGTCCTTTTTTAGCCCGGTTTTAATCCTGGTTTACTACTGTACTGGCTCCAGACCTGGTTTAGTCTTGGTTTAGTTCTGGTTCAAGCCTGGTTTCTACTTTTTGTTCTAGTGCTGAAGATCTGGTTTAGTCCTGGTTTAGATTGGTCTCAGTCCTGGTTCATACCTATTCTGATTAAGTCCTTTTTCAGTCCTGGTTTTATCCTGGTTTACCACTGTACTTGGTTAAAATCTGCTTTAGTCCTGGTTTAGTTTTGGTTCAATCCTGTTTTGAGACTTTTTGTTCTACAACAGTACAGAAGATTTAGTGTAGTCCTGGTTTAGATCTGTCTCACTCCTGGTTCAGCCCTGTTCATACATTCGTTTTTAGTCCTGGTTTAGTTCTGGTTCAATCCTGTTTTGTACTTTTGAAGAGACTTTTGGTTCTACTGCAGTATTGAAATCCTGGTTTAGTCCTGGTTTAGATTTCTCTCAGTCCTGGTTCATACCAATTCTGATTTAGTCCTTTTTTAGTCCTGGTTTTATCCTGGTTTAACACTGTACTTGCTTAAAACCAGTCCTGGTTTAGTTTTGGTTCAATCCTGTTTTGAGACTTTTTGTTCTACTTCAGTACTGAAATCCTGGTTTAGTCCTGGTTTAGATCAGTCTTAGTCCTTTTTTAATCATCGCTTAGACCTGGTTTTATCCTGGTTTCTACTACTATACTTAAGACCTGGTCAAGTCCTGATATAGTCCTTTTTGGGTCTAGTTTGGACCTGTTTTTAAGTCCTCATTTCAGGTTTTATGTTGCCTTCCAACTTATCGGACACATTTTAATCCTGAATTAGTCCCCACTGATTCTAACACTGGTCTTTCCTGAACATTTCCTTCCACAGTGAAATGACACCGCTGCTCGCCCCACCCCTTTTTCCTACAGATCCCACATCCTGATTGGTCGTCACACCGTAGTGGACTTATGATTGGCTGTCGGAGGAACGGTGAGCCTCAGTTCGTCACCGTCCTCGTCCTCCTCATCGCTGTCCGTGTCCGGGATGTTGGGTCTAAGGCGGATTCGGGTGGAGCCGGACACGGCCCTCTGATCCGGACTCGGGGCTTCTTGGATGCTGGGGTCCCGGGATCTGTCGTCGTCCGAAGAGTGGTAAGACTCGAGGTTCCCGCCCCCGAAGTGGTTGACCAGGTGGATGCGGTCAAATGTGGATTGATTGGACATGCCCCTTTGGCCTTTGAGACAGCAGATCTGAAAGAAGGCAGCAAAAAACATGATTTCTTCTCATGTTTTGGCGTTTATTTTTTAGCGACACGTGTATTGCTTTGTTACTATTACATGAACCCAATCAAATAAAAAAATACATGCACATTCTTGGCACATTTATGCACAGGAATGGGGTCTTTTAGATGGCCGTGCAGTAATTTTGTAAAAGCAAGTGAGACAAAACAAAAGGGACTATCTCAGTGTATATAATAAGCAAGCAGATCCTAGCCTCATTCGTTTCACTTCGTGGAAACCGTCTGACCTCACAGCATTAGGATTCGTTTGCTCAATGGTAAGCGGGTACTTTTTTTTATTTAACCAATCACTGCTACTTGGTCGTGACATATGTAATGTGCCGCTAACGGAGCTAATTGGTATATTAAGCTTTTCGAAAATTCCGTAGGAAGAGGGGCAATAATGTCTTTCCCCTTGATAAAATTCACCAAACATTCTCTTTGTTCCGGCTTTAAATCCTTGATCTTGGGAATCACTGCCAACACAGAATGTATGGCTCTTCGCTGATTGGCTGCTGCCCAAACTCGCACTTCTGGGGTTTTTGCGAATCGTCTAGTGTATTCCGATTCCTGAGCTAATCGCTGGAGAGAAATGAAATTGAGCGGAGGCACTAAGTGGCGCCAGCCTGGCTAAGCAGATCCATGGGTGACCTAGAAATAAAAATAAGGCTAAAATGTATATTCTGTTTTGCCTGGTATTTTTAATAGAGTGATATCAGTCTGGTCCCCATGCACTCCATTGTGTCTCAAGTAGGGCCCGACCGATATAGCTGTTGGCCGAAATTATTGGCCGATATGAGCATCTTGGAGACATATCAGCTCTCAGCCTAAATCTTGCCGATACGAACCGATAGTCCACGTGGGCATGTTTTACCTTGTTACAAATCTTAGACTCTCTATATTATGTCAATTTAATCCAATTTACAGACAGATAAATGACGTAATATGTGGTGGCGCATCAGTATTTACCTGTGGAATAATTTGTCTAAGTCTGTGACACCGTACTGCCCGTGAACGCACCCCCAGAGTCACATCATTCACATGCTCTTGTTCACACACGCAGCTTATCAGGAGTCAGGATTAAAAGGGGATTTATTTGTGAAGACCTGTGATCTGAGAGGAGACTGTGTGAGCGGTGAGTGTTGCAAAATGTGTAAGTTTTGAGGCTACTTTTGGTTCTTTTCCATTGGTTGACGATTAGCTGCTGTAAACTACCACACATAAAAAGCCCGTTTTCTCTTACATTGGCCTAGTGTAGAGTGACTATAGTGGCTGTACACACGTTACTGGACACGCACTGATATGTAAATGAGCTGTGAATAGAGGTGTGAATGATCAGCATTTACACATAATTAATTACAGTGGCGTTTACTGCTAAAGGCTGACAGCGGTATCTTACTTACTTTCTTTACTGGCTAGAATGTGATGCAAAAATGCCATTAGACCTACTGTCTTTAAATATGATTGTAAACTGTGAATAACAATAAATGTTGCCTAAATAAACCCAATATAAAATCCAGTAGAGCGAGACCTTTTTATAATGAATTTACAGTAAATTTTTACATCACTAAATATATCGGCTTTTATATCGGATATCGGCAGCTCCAACTCCCATTTTATCAGTATCATATCAGCCGCAAAAAAATCCCTATCAGTCGGGCCTTAGTCTCCAGCCCAGCCACAAGTAATTATGCAATGTATTTTTTTGTGACGCATGTGAAGTAACACAAAAACATAAATTTATCTAACAACATCTATTAACAATGTTTAGTTTAGCTCACTGATTCTGCAGAAATATGTCATGTTTTTCAGTCCCCTGTAATTTATATTTTTTTGGATAGGGACGGACCATGCCAGTCCCCAATCTGTCAGTCACGGCCATTTGAAAACAGTGACCAGACTCACATCTTTGTACAGTATTGTAAGTATTCTCCCAGGGAAGTATTCTGTGTAATTCTGTTATTATCTTTTCAGTACAGTCAATTAGTCATTCTGAGAAAAGCTACAACACATTGGAAAGGTACAGTCTCTATGCTTCAAGGCTTAGTGGTAGTGAAAGTTTAAAGTATTCGTAACTCTGAAAGGAAACTTTTTTTGTGGAGCAAATGTGTTATTCACATATTCTTTGTCATGTTTTCCTCACTTATTTCAGTAAAGCTCCTCCATTGATGGTTTATGGATACATATGACGGCACCAAAGCATTGTAACGCTTAGGTAAATGGGTGATTCACATTGACATTGAAGGATGGCAGTTTAGAATATCTATAGCAAAAAACAAAAAAGCAATGCATTAATTCATCCATAATCTTCCTGCTTATTCCAATTAAAGCTTTTGTACCAGATTTTTTATACTTAAAAATATGAAAAACAGAACTAGCTAATTTTGAATGCATTACGAGCATCCCAATTATTCATTTATTTGCACTTTTCACAACTTTCAGAGGCCAGAATGGAGTTTTGGCGACAAGGTAAAAACAACATATAGCATGCTAACTCAGCACTTCCTGATTAGGAGACAATAATATCGTTTCTAATCAGATGCAGGCAGTGCGCAGCGGACATAATTTGTGCTCAGTAGCTGCTTATAGAATAATCAATGTGGAGATAAAACAAATTGAGCTCAAAAACATAAAATGCATACAAAAAATTATTTGATGGGTTTCTGAAGTGGGTACTCTAAGTATTTTGTAGGGTTCGGTATGCAGACAGGAATTTCTAGCCATTGACAAAATGATTTAACTTGACACACGGAAAGAGTCAAAATAATTTAAACTGATGCATGGAGAGGGAGGGGGGGTAACCAAAAGTGGGTCTGGACTGAAATGACATGGACACAGGTTATGTTGACATACCTGGTACAGTCTATCACCACAGTCAGACATGTGGGAGGAACAAGACGCACCTCTTTAAATAGTTCTGTCCAGCAGCCTACGTTCACCTGCAGTGATCTTATAGCAAACTCAGAGGAAATACTAAAATAAGTCAGAGAAGGTGGAGGAAGTAGGGTGGAACTATCTTGTAAAGCACCGAGTCAAGTTGGGATGGTGCGTCACTTTGTCTCTCTATTTGACGTATTATGGTAATTACCATAAAATAATAATAAAAAAAAAAGTTGAGTCGTGATATATTGACAGATTCAACTGCTTACAATTAAATTAAATCATATACAGTTTAAATAAAAGCTTTTTCAATGTTCCAAATGATCAATTTAACCAACTAATATTTCTCATTGTGGTTTATATTATTTTGCAAAGTTATTGACCTTTATTTGGGCTACAATCAGAAAATATACAAATAAGTCCTGATTATTGCCCCTTTAAACACATTGTTGCATAATGCATCTAAAATAAATAATGTACGTAAATGGCTTTCATGCCTCGATCTGTACAAATAGGGCTTTTTGTTTTTCAGTGAGTATTCTGCAGCAGTGTTGTGCAGGGCCGCTCCACACAGGAAGTCTCTGGGTGGAGTTTACACTGATCTGCTCAGACTTAGATCAACAAGTCTTAATATGTTGAGGGGAAACACACATGGTGTGATTTCACCTGGTATGGTCTACTCTTTCCTGATCTTAAATATAGTAAAGGCCCAAGCACGTTTTTTTGACACTTTGACAGCCTGCGTTGTACATAAAGACTACATTAATACATACTGGTACATGCAATATTTCACATGGGCTCACCTCTTGTCTGAGCTCCACGATCTGGTCTTGCAGATCCCTGATGTACTGACTGGAGTCTGTGTGGTTCAGCTGGCCCTGCACCTTCCCCTCCTCTTTCTGTGGAGCACAAAAAATATGTTTTTAATTGCATGAAGTCATTAAAATGTAAAATTATAAGCACATAACACAGAACAAAACAAAACACTTTTCTGCAACACAAACAAGACAGTACACACTTTTGCTTATATACTCTGTTTTAGAAATCAAGTGTTGAATTAAAGAGTAAAAAATAAGCAATTTTCTTCTCCCATCTTGACTGACTGAAATTTTCAGATTTAGTTTTTTTTATTTGGAAAAAGAATAAAAAATGTCTTCAGTATTGATTCCATGAACACACATAATACAGACTTTTAATCATTGCTCTTTAACATAAAAAGTAGTGCATTTTCTTCCTCCAAAGTCTGAACTCCAAGCCACATGTTTTTACTGACAGAAGACTGGCTGATGACTGCTTGATTAAAGACCCAAGGTGATCATTAACTATTAGAAATGACTGAATCTTCTACTTAAAATTTGATTAATTGCTCAGCCTTAATTTCAAAATAAAAATAAATTTTTCATAGATCATCAGATCAGGGGTAAATTATTTTTTTCCATGGGGCCACATGAGAAACAGAAAATATTGTGGAGGGCCAGACCAAAATGCTTAACTCTGTTCTGCATAAAATTAATTGTATTTCTTTATTAAAAATTTTTTTTTAAAAAGCTGTAAATAGCATTGTTCTGACACGCTGGTAAGACTGGGAAGAGTTTATGTTATTACTAAGAAATGAAAAAGTGAGGCTGCCTTACAAAAAATATTATTTAAAAAACACCTCTAAAATAAAAAGCAATGCAGCTTTAGTCCAAGCATGAGGCAAAATTATAAAATATGTTTATTTAGTAATTCCAAATTAGCTTAGACGGGCCAGTCAGAGAACCAGAAGCCCAGGAGCAGTACAATGCCTAAGGTCTAAGATAGACCTATTCAATCTTTTGGGATATAGACACTTGTCTACTGCAAATGTTGTACTCAAGTTACTTTCTACAATAAAAACACAAACATTTTTCAAATTTAAAAAACAAAATAAAATGTCTACAAAATATCTCCAAAATTTCCTAAAAGTCTAAAGTACAGCTGCTGAGTTTAGACATGTTAGCTGACACTACCGGCAACAAACGGGAAATCTGAAAACACATACCCAGCACACACGTACAGAGCGACAGAGTGATAGAGTGAGAGAAAGAAAGAGAGAGAGAGTTGCCTCAGTCACACCTCCCTCTCTCTCTAACACTACTATTGTGAAAAGTCAGTTCTGATAAAGCTATTTTTGAGTTTAGACACACTCGGCACTGGGGCAGTTTGGGGCAGTTAGAAGTTTCCTGGAACTCAACTGGGTGAAGCTGCAGCTGTCAGACTGTGACAAAAACATTTTATATCCCAAGAGGCAAAGTCTAACGGGCAAGAAACACTTAAAAAATAATAGAAATAAATATTAACCACTGAATTTGAACATTTTGTTTTGAGGCAAACTTTACTATTTTTAATTAAGCGTATTTGTCTAAATATAATGAATGTACAATGTTAAAGAATGAGCCACTCCTCCTGCTCACCCCCTCATAAATAAACTCCCCATAAAAACATAATTTCTGTATAGAGCCTCACACATGCTTGTGAATAATGTAGTAGCTAAAGAAAGCATAAAAATGAGTCAAAACAGCCCGTGAAGGAGATATATTTTGTGGTTTCGATGAAAAAACTCCAGAGATCAAGCTTCAAGGGGTTTAAATTTAATGAAACATGATTGAATGAAAAAATAATAGACATTATCGTTACCCCTATGACTATGTCACTGAATGAAGCTGAAGATGAGTAGTTATTTACCAACAAACCCAAGCCCTGGTTTGGACTGATCATTTGATCTAAACTAGGGTTCGACCGGCTTCAGTGTAAATCTGTGATAGAAAAGCTCTGAGCTTAGAGTCTGCAGGAAGTGGTTTCTTGCCTGTGAAGCAAAGAGCAGAGCCATGGCAACAGCACAGTCAGGCATGTGTGTCTGCCTCACCTAGACAACAGCATCTAGTCAATATCTATGAATTCATAAATAAATCAATTAAATTAAAAATGTGGTTTTATAAGTAAAACTGGGTGAAAAGCATTCAGAAATATTAAAGCCAGTAAAACACAGAGAAGTTGTGTAAATATGCTAAAAACCAAAGCACACTTAAACACACTTGTATCACTCCTGAACAACTTCACAAGTTAGTTTGGTTGCCAGGGTCAAAAAAGTCTCCCAAAACACAGCACAAAGCTGCATACATCAACACAGTTTTACTAAGGACAAGCCCTGTGCCCCTGGTCTACCTACAGTCCAGGGATGAAATCTCTGTGTCACCTTTGGCACGGTCCACAAGCCACAGCTTGTGTTCAAAGTGATCAAAGATCAAAGTGTTTTTTTGGGGGCAATTTCTTGCAGTTGAAGTTTTCAGCCACAACTGGAGAAGGTAAACCAAACCACAAACCATCAACCAGTCGAGTCACACTGATTTTCCCTCAGATGCTCTGTGCAAAACAGCTCAGCAATAACACGGGCATCAAACTCGCACCTTTTGTAAAAAAAAAAAAAAAAAAAAAAAAAAAACTCCCTTTCAAGCGAGAGGCCTTCGCTTGGTATAGGCTGATTGTAGAAGTATGGGCGGTAGTGTTAAGAGTTTAGTGCATTGAACCAAACCTCAGACCACACGTGTGAGGAGCTGGGGGAGGGAACAGTTAAAAATACACAACCTGTTCGGAAATATGTTTAAGACAAAAGCCCACTCACCGGTGCTCTTAACTTTGAATATCAGTAAAGCAGAATGCCACAGCTACATTTGTGCTCACTTACTGCATGGTAAAAAAACTAATACACATTGGTCCACATCATTGGTCCAGTTAGTCAAGATGAATTTTAGTAATACTTGAGGATAGAGTTGTCAAAAAAAAAAAAAAATCAAAACCCATATACTAAATAATACTAAAAACCAAAATACTCTTATAACCTTAATTGAGTAAATTTTGGGAGTATTTTCATGTGTATATTAGTCAGTTTTGACAATAATTTCAGAATTTCAATTTATTATATAAGAGATATTTATTTACGGTATGTTGCTGGTCACAGGTTGTTTGCAAATATGTTTTTTAGACAGCATTTATTTATATTTTTTATGTAAGATTCAAATTTCCACAAGTACACAAACCTAACAGATTTGAAACCCATACACAAAATACCACTGTTGGGTTTAGCACATGTAAATAACTTGATGATCCATTCTGCTGTTGTCCACTCAAGCTCATATCCGTTTCTATATTAGGAGCTCTTCACCTGAGTGAGTGACCCCGCTGTAAACAAACTGTGTAATCTGTCATCTCCACTCTCTCCTGGAGGAGCAGCCTGTATTTGTTGTAGTCAGCCTTGTTGTGTGACATTACATTTGTTTACACATAAATATGGTTTTCTGTGCTCGCTGGTTCAGACCGGCTCATGCCCTAAATTTTGTGACGCAGTGGTCAATCTTGGTTTCTCAGATTTTGAAACTTGATGTTGTAATGGACAACTTCAGCATGAGAGCTTTTTGATCAGATTTGATCCACTAAAGGAAACCAGCACATATCTAGACTGATCTTGCATGTTTGAGATTTTTTGCAAAGTACATGCAATCTCTTAGTCTCATTGCATGTTTGTCTCCTAGAAACTGACAGAGAAAGAATAATCTGGGCCAATGCAAACCCTGATAGTAAGGCTTTTTAAATACCAGTAACAGATATATCGGTCAATACCAAAGACGCACGCATACACGCATTGAACTGTGCAGGACAATCTTAAGTAATCACGTTGGCCAAATCATAGACTTTTACCAAAAAATTTTGTTACATCCTCTGGTTCTGTTTTGTAAGGTTAAAAAAATAATACAAAATACAGATCTAAACAGTTTGTACCTGTATCTCGAGCTCTGAGATCTGCTGCTGGAGCTCTGCCATAGCAGCGATGTTGTCTGCCTCTCGGAGCCGCACGGCCATCACCTCCTCCTTACTCTGAAACACAGGGCCAAAGTGTCAGGGAAGGTCACATGGTTATAATGAAGAGGCCCATAAAGAAATACTAGTATTTCAAGTATTTGTTTAAGCTATTAGGTTTTACTGAACAGATGTACGTGTGGAAGTGGGGCTAAAGGAGAGACAAATCCTTTTAAAGCAACAGATTCTTTGCTTTGACCTGGCTTTTACAACACATTAATATAAAATGTAAAAAAAATAAATAAATAAATAAAAAGCTTATTTCTTTCTTTTGCTGTTAGGAGTTTCCAGCATGAAGTATTAGTGCTTTATTTTTAACAAGAAATGTATAGGATTTTTTGTCAGGTAAGCATCTCTAAATCTACACACTAAAAGATGTTTCAGATTAAAATGTTACATTACATTAAAACTTTTAAATTTAAAAAAACATCCAGACCAAAGTTAGTTCCTGGGCATTCCCCACGTTAAAATAGCTTTAGTTTGTGTCATAGTGTCCGGTTCGTAGCAGAGATGACATGATTGAGTTTAAAGGCCCTGTAGTGCTATACCTTGCATTCGATCTCAGCCTGTCTGCGCTTTATCTCCTGCAGTTGTGAAAGCAGGTCTTTGTTTTGAGTGGTCAGGGCCTGTACTCTGTCATTCAAACAGCGACTCTCCTGCTCCGCTCTCCTCAGCTGGTTACTGTGGATCTGATTCTGCAAACAAACAAAAGCACACGTTTAAACCAGATGTGTGCGCTGCCCTCTAGAGGCGAGTGTTTCTGAAATAAGGTTAAAAAAAATAAAATAAAATATGTTATCACAGTTGTTTTCTTTTCATTTAACACTCAATAAATGTAGACATGTCATCTATTATCAATAGCCAATATTAACATAAATATGGAAGACTATGAAATAAAAGACCCTAAATTGGTTTTACTGCACAACAGCATGTTATAGTGTATTAACATGATAAAGTGTTGGCCGTGTGGGTTCACCTGTGTCTCCAGCTCGAGCATCCTCTGCCTGGTCTCTCTGAGCTCTGCCTGAGCCTCTGCCTCCCTCAGCCTCACACTCATCAGCTCGTCCTGCAGTTCTGCCACTGTGCTCTTCTTTGGAGTGTCCTTCCACCGCCCGGCCGTTCGGGCCAAGTGACGCTGGACAACACAACTCCCTCAGTACATGTGGACATTTACACAGTCTACAATGTCACCCTCCAGTGTTTCCTGACCTGCCAGTGGTCCTCCAGGTCATGCACCTGCTGCCTCAGCTCCTTCAGCCCGGTCAGAGCCTCTGCCTCTCGGATCTTCACTCCGATGAGCTCCTCCTGGAGCCGGGCCACGTTAGTGTCATCAGGCAAGGATGTGTTCCTCTGGAAACAGAGAGAACAAAGCATTATAAAATAATCATGACAACATGAACACTGTGTTTGTATTATAACCACTGCCCTTTGCTCAATAAACACATAAACACTTTCCTGTGTGTATCTCTCACCTTCTCCATGTCGAGGATCTTGTCCTGCATTTCTTTGAGCGCACATTGAGACTCCGCCTCCTTCAGTCGAGCCTGGACCAACTCTCTCTCCAACTGCAGCACGGCCTCCTCCGAATACCGGGGGACCCCCTTCTACAACGGACAGGAAGACAATGCTATTGAAATGTATGTGAGAAGTAGAAACAAAAGTAGTTGCTCCATAAATACTGACACCGCAGTTGCTGGGATTTCAGATGACAACACAGCATTCGATAGGACATTAGCAGTTAAAACGGTTACAATAAGATTTGTCTCTAATTGAAAATCCAATGTTCAGCTTGTGTGATTTCACCTTTTGGACATTTCATGACAAAGAACAATGTAATCAACAGGGAAATCTGGCCCTTGCCTCCCTTTGGGAGTATGACATTATCACATTATAGAATCTGAACACTGCCAATTCTATTTATGATTTCAATAAAAAAATTTAAATATAAATATTTTTTAATAAGAAACAAATATTGATACACTGGCATCAATCCACCGATCACTAATATTTGGATCAACCGGTTCCAACATTGTAATAACAACCGACAGAAATCATTTTGCCCGTCTTGTTTCAATAAATAATTCAGTAATGCTCTTGGTGAAACATAATGACAAATTATGTAAAGCAAGATACTGCCTGCACATGATCATGAGGACTCCCAACATGAATATTTAACACAACACCACATTACACTGGTGCTGGAATGTGAATAGAGTGTCTGAAATCCACCAGCCCGTGAGACATCTGTGATAAGACTCAGAAGCTTTGTGATTGTCGCAAAATGTAAACAGCCCAGTGCAGCGTCACCCATTGGAAGTCATGCATACTAAAACCCACCAGTGAGAACAGGGTAATATTTCACAGTTTGGTGTACACCTATAAGGAGGAGTGATAAATAATAATAATTTATTTCCTTGTGTAATATATTATCAAGAGTAAAATACAATCTTAGTTAAGTTCCAAATATACAACATGGACAGAAGTGATATGGTCGTCACAGCAGACCAATCCCAGAGTAATGTGCAGGTAATTACACCGGATGCTCTCCTCATTGTAAGCAGCTTCATATTTTTTTTCTGCAACAATTGTAGTAATTTGTAATAATTTTAAATGCAATCTAATCTCCAAATAATCTTATGTATTGCATCACAACAATCTATAGGCCAATAATATTTAATACTGATGGAAGGCAGCTAAAAAAAATCTCTTTTGATTTCTTTTGTAACATAGTGAGTTCTAGGGTCACAATATGATGAAATGATCAAGTTTAACATTTGTGAGTTTATTTTAAATATTTTAATAGAAAGTATAATGCTATTAATGGGGAAAACTGTCTCTTGCTCGCCATTTGATCACATTCTACCATCACATTCTTCTTCTACAAACAAGGCCCTCAGATCAATTTGTGTTGGCTCTAAAGTGTCTTGCTGAATTGATTCTTTTTACTAAGCAAGGCAAGTTTATTTGTATAGCACAATTCGTACACAAAGTAATTCAAAGTGCTTTACAGAATAAGAAGTCAAATATAACAAATTCAGATACTACTATCTATTTAAAATGTGTGTTCTAAGATGTTTTAGAGGTGCGGTGGCTCTGTCAAACCTATGTAAACTGCATCTATCTGAAAGACTGGCTCACCATTTGCCACCATAGCACAACATACACAAGTTCTTTGCTATAATTGCTTTAAATCGTTTCTATAAGCTAAAAACCTTTGAACACTCTTGTCTGAAAACTACCAATATCTTTATCACGTTTTAAGTCACACATCAAAAAAAGAAAAGAAAAAACTGCAACATCCTGAAAGCTGAAAGCAGGACTATTTTGTGGTTAGTTTGCCTGGTATGAGTCGATGCTGTTGTCCTTAGTTGGACCACTGGAGGGCGCTGTGGTCCTCTTACCGCGTGTGGCTGTTGTCCCTGCAGTTGGCTGATGGTTTTGCGGGCCTGCTCCAGCTGCACCGCGGCCTCTTCATTCTGCTGTTTGACTGTGGCCAGCTCCCGTTTGACCAGGTAGTTCTCCTCCGCCTCCTGAGCGCGCGTCACCTGCCCCTTTGGGACATCCAGCACTGGGTGAGAGTCCCGCGGCGGGGAAGGGGACGGGAGGGGAGTCTAACATGCTCCTGACTATAACTGTATGGTTTATAATACTCACAAGGTAGCTGCTCATTCTGACACCGAAACTGTGATTTCCAATTTGATTCATACCAAATATTGGTTTCATGCACTGGATTCTTTTAAACCGATTTGTAAAGGTTTTAGCCTGGTCAGCCACGTCGATCAGGAGTCAAGGGGCATGGATCTAAATGGATTTATTAGGTCAGGGGGCAGTGGTTAGAGCACTAGTCCACAAACCCAAAGGTCAGAGGTTCAATTACTGCTCAGATCTGTTCTGCTGTTGTGACCTTAGGCAAGACACACACCAGAAAATCTAGAAAGAAAAGATAATTTGGGATGGATTTTACTAGACATTGTTCCATCCACATATAACTAATATAAAACCTTTTGGCTTTTTCCAGTGAATATGTTAGAATTATTTATCCATCTATTTATTTAGAAAAGTATTCATCCATTTCAAATCAATCTGAAACATGATCCACTTCTTTAATAGTTAAAAAGTTGATACATTTTTGTGTTAGTATATGCAATTACAATGAGTTACCTTCAGATAATAGCAAACTTTTACTTATATACAGAGGTGGGACCAAGTCTTTTTCTGCAAGTCTCAGCTAAGTCTCAAGTCTTTGACCTCAAGTCCGAGTCAAGTCCCTAGTCAAAGACAGGCAAGTCCAAGTCGAGTCTCAAATCACTGACCAATAAGTCCAAATCAAGTCCAAGTCGTCTGCAATTTATATGACTTATAACTAAATCATAGTATATTTATATATGAATATTTATTATCTTAATGTGAACTATTACGGTCAGAATAGAAAGAATTCAGATTTCAAAGTGCTTCTCAAGTCTTGTCAAGTTACAGGCCGCAAGTCTAAGTCAAGTCCCAAGTCACTGACCTTCAAATCCAAGTCGAGTCCCAAGTCTTAGTCCATTTTATCAAGTCAAG